TACAAATACTGTGGAAATTTATAAAGCTGATTCAGGTAATGGTACTAGTACTTTAAAAAGGCATGTAAAAACATATTAACCAACATGGAAATAGAGAAAGCAATCAAACTCAATAACTAATATGGGTACTAATTGGCGTTATAATTCTGATGTATATAGGGAACAGTTAGCTTTATATATTGCTACAACTGATCAACCTATTAATATGTCTGAACATAAATATTTTGAAAGATTTGTTCAAAATTCATTTTTTCCCGATTTAAAAGTTATTCTAAAACTGCAACTAGAAATGATTTAAAAAATTGTTTAAAAAAATGAAATTAGAATTAAAAAATAAAATACGTATTTCTCATGTTAATGTGGCTCTAACTACCAATATTTGGAGTGGTAAAGCTAAACAAAATTATATTTGTGTGACTAGTCAATTTTGATAATGAATGTAAATTAAATAAATCTTATTAGGATTTAGATTAATGGATGTTGATCATAGTGGTGAACAAATTTATAATAAAATTGTTGAAGTTTTAGAGTATGATGTTGTTAGTAAGTGATAAGTTAACTTTAGATAATGCAAGTTCTAATAGTAAAGTTATAGATTATTTTCAAAGTAATTATCCTTGATAAACAATTTGAGTTTTTTCAACAACGTTGTGCATGCCATGTTATAATTTAATTGTGAAAAGTGGTATGAAAATAATTAAAGAAAATATTATAGAATTAGAGATTGTTTATGGATTACTAGTAGTAATAAAAGAAATGCTGCATTTCAAGACGCTTGTATAAAATCAAATATTGTCTCCTAGAACTTTTGCATAGACATGCCTGTTAGAGTAATAGTACTTATTTAATGCTTGATTCATGTTTACCTTATGCTAATATAATTAGTTAATTTGTAGCAAATAATAGAGGTCCTCATTATTTGGTTGAAAATGATTGGCAAATAGCTAAAGTATTTCATTCTTTCTTAAAACTTTTTACCAATCCACTTTACAACTTTCTAGTGTGTATTATCCTACTAGTCCATGGTAATACATACAATTATAAAAATTTTCGAGATTTATAAAAAACAAAGACAATGTAATTTTAAATGCACCAATAAAGGCAAGGAAAAAAAAAAATAAATATTGAGAATCCATTCCTTTTCTTTATTATTTAGGTGCTATATTTGATCCTAGAATTAAATTAGCAGGTTAGGAAATGGTTTTGACAATTTATGTGAAAATTTACAAACCGAAGTATATGCCATCAATAGAAGAGGTAAAAATACACTTTTCGAAGTATATTTCCAGTATAAAAACAGGTATGGGAACCCACAAAGAGGTGAAACATCCAGGGAAGCTGCATCAGAAGAAACAAATGAAGACTTCTACTCTTGGGGTGCACTGAATAGGCGAAAGGACCGAATCTGAAGCACAACCTTCTCTTCAGAAGCTCACAACAACAACAACTAATGTACTATCTTCCATGCAGTCGCAGAGTAATGAGCTTCAACAATATTTGGCAACCCTGAAATGTATTCAGTAGATCCACAACAGAGAGCCAACATTGATCTCTTAGACTATTGAGAGCCAGAAAATGTATTTTTCAGTACTATCAAGACTTGCCTTAGATGTTTTCGCTGTTCCTGTCTCAACCGTCTATCCGAACAAACATTTAGTGCAAAGGAAGAATTTTAAATGAAATGAGGACTAAACTTTCACCACAAATGATTGAAGTCCTCACATGTCTTCGAGATTGGGAACGGTCGCGCCATCAAGGTCAATACGAGGTTGTCGGCGATACTTTAATAGAATCATTTCAATTTTGTAATATAGATGATACAGATGGGGAGGTCCTAGTAAACCCCAAAATTAGTGTTTTAAATTGTAATTTGTAAATAATTAGCAATTATTCAATCTTTTTTCCTTACCAAGTTTTTGTCCTATTGGGTTTTTCTTGGTGAGGTTTTTAACGAGACAATAATTATTGTAATTTCTTATTTTATTTTTTAATAAATGAATAAATTTAATTATTCTTATATTACAATTTTAATGTATTAAAATTGAATTAATATTTGGAATGTTAACAAAAAAAAATTAAATTAATTTAATTATTGATATTTGAAAAGAAATTAACAATTACATTTATTCATTTATAAATTGTTAATTATTCATTTGAAAAGTTAATTAAACATTTAAACTTAAACAAAACAAAATAAAACAAAACAAAATTAAAAAAAATAAAATAAAATAAAAAGCGGGTTAACCCGGCCCAACCCGCGGCCTAACCCGGCGGGTTAGTGTTGGCGGTCCGGGTTGGGCCAACCAATTCCCTAACATTGGCGGGTTGGATTGGCAGGCCTAACTCGGCCCGTCAATGTTATCGGGCGGGTCAGTAACAGCAACCCACCGTGGGCTGGGCCGGGTCGGGTCAGGCAGGTTGCTTTTCCACCTCTAGGTGGAACTAACTACTTTTTAGCTAATTAAAAAGAAGTCAAATTTTTACAAGTACTTTCGTCTTTTCAATAAAATATTAATGAAAAACATAATAAAACTAAACGAAAGGTGAGAAAGTGTCATTTTTAAACTTGAAGGGTGGGACATGTCGTTCTCCCATGAATAAATAACTAAACGTCCCGTTGGTACTAGCTTGTGCTAGATGATAATTGACTTATATATGACCCATCAAAATATTAAAAAATCTGAATATTCTACTCTTGTTCATATAGTGGGAGNCTAATCTCTAATCTCTCAATTATTCATTTATTCTCTTAATCTCTTTGTTATCAATTTGCTCGTATTTTAATTTTTATTAGTTTTTACAATTTTTAATTCATAGTTCCAATTTTCCAAATTCCAATTTCCATATTCCAATTCTCTTTCTTTAATTTTTATTTTTTCTATATCAATTTTTTTTTTCAACTACAATTGATAGATATTTCTCTCCCATCAATTACAATGATGAAGGAAACTACTATCCTAGTCCTAGTCCTAGTCCCGCTAATTTTACTAACATAAATGCAGGAGGAGATTCAAATAGTCCCATTTTCCCATTCTCAGAATCCGATACACCTCAAAATATACCCCGGATTCCAACAGCTCCTGGTGGTTCTAGAAGTTGTCCTCGTAATCGTCGTGCTCGTCCAACTTCATCTCAAGCTGAGGTGGGATCATCAACTACCGTCGAAAGCGAAGACAGACACANATAAAGACGAATAAATATTATCACCTAATAAGTTAGTCTTTTGGGTAGTTAACAATCGTCCAACCCATAACATAGAAAGTATATTCCTTAACTATCTTTGAAACATATTGCTCTACATAAAACCACCTCACATTCCCAACAAAATATCATTTCAATTAAGTAGATGGTTACTTGTGTTGTGTGAGACCCAATTTTCCAATCATGTTTTAATTGAGATAAATTCATGTGATGAGAAAGCACAAGACCCCTCACTACAACTAATTATAGTAGCCAAACTCATACAAACATGACTTAAAAGGGAAAAGGAGAAGCGCTTTTAAGCTTAGCAACAGGCGTTGATGATGGATCATGGCTCTGGTTGTGGTGTGGGAATGTCATGGAGATTGATCTAATAATAACAATTATAAATGAACAAAGGGAGAACAACATTTTCACACCCAAGGTTTGACGAAATGACACTTTCCCACCCATCAAGTTTTAAAATGACACTTTCCCACCCTTCATCGGGTTCTGTCAGTATTTTCTGTTAATATTTGACTGAAAAGACCAGAATACCCTTAAATAGTTTATTTCTTAATTAGTTTATTATAAATTAAAATTTAATTAAATCAAAGTCTTTACTCGATTATTTATTAGTTCACGTGTAAAGATAATTTTTTTCTTTGTTTATTTAATTAATTAAGAATATTAATTTTTTATATTAATTAGAAAAAATAAAAAACATTATAAATTTAATAGATTATTGAATAATAATGATGAGATATTGATGACATTATAAATAAATAAATAAATATTAAAATCATTTTACTTTAAACAATTTCATAGCATTACTCCTAACTTTTTAGTTGGAAGTAACTAATTTTTCTTTTTTGACTTTTTAGCTAATTAAAAAGAAGTCAAATTTTTAAGGGTACTTTTGTCTTTTTTATAAAATATTAACGGAAAACATAACAGAACCTAACGAAGAGTGAGAAAGTATCCATTTTAAACTTAAAGGGTGGGAAAGTGTCATTTCGTAAAACCTTGGGTGGGAAAATGTCGTTCTCCCATGAATAAATAATTAAACATCTAGTTGGTACTAGCTTGTGCTAGATGATAATTGACTTATATATGACCCATCAAAATATTAAAATATCAATATTTTACTCTTGTTCATATAGTGGGAGATCACTTGCCACCACCTAATTAATTCAATTCTACCAAATCTACAAACAAAATTATCAAAAATATTTGTTTATTCATTTAGCCTTTAGCCATCAAGATAAAGATAAGATATACTAAATGATCTTGTGTTTGAGTCACAGAAAAGACAATTATCGGGTTTACCTTAAAAAAAAATACTATTTCAATTTTCAATGAAAACACACATTAATTGTTCATTATTATCTATTATTACCCTTCAACTACCCACTAGATTTACATAAACCAAACTCATAATCACTAGTTTTACTTAATAATTTTAATTTATTTCCTTAATTAAACAATTTTTAAATAATATACCCATTGTGCATTAAAGTTTATGAAATTGCAAATTAACCCTCAAATAGACAAATACCTTCTCAAATAATAAATAATCAAAACTAAAGCAACCCTTAAGCAAGATCCCAATAACTTTTAAAACTGGTATCAAACCAAACAACTAGCCTGTCTTCTTCTTCTCTTCTCCTCCTATTGACTTCTCTTGCGGTCTCTGATCCTCTCAATTCTATCGCATTAACTCACGCCCAATTTCTCATTTGATCTGAAATCATCGTAAAAATCACAACTTCTTTACTTTTTGTTGTAAAAAATTTGAACTTTTTTGTCACCGGGAAACGATGCAACAGCTCTTGTTCACTGTGATATTTTCCGAGATGGTATTGATATTGGTGTTATCGTTCAAGACCCCCTTGAGGAAGCTTGTGATCATGAGCCTTGATCGTGTGAAGCGTGGCCGTGGGCCTGTGGTGATCAAAACGGTGGCTGGAACGGTCTTTGTGATGTTGATTTCAAGTTTATATAGTATGGTGAAGATCCAGAAGCGTTGGATCGATGAGGGCTCGGTCAATCCAACGGACCAGGTCCTCATGGGCAAGCACCTTCTTGAAGCCACTCTTATGGGTAATTATTGTTTTATTGAATTGTGTTTTCTGTTTTTTTTTTGGGGGGGTTGTAACTAATAAAGTTGCGAGCTTTATGAGGTTTGATTGATAATGTAGATTGGAATGTGCTTGATTTAGCGTTTTGGGAAGTGGGCTGTGTTTGAATTTGTGAATTTTTTTTTATTTTTATTTTTTTCATGAATTGATGGTTTGGAATGGTTGACTGCAAGTTTGAAGCTTGTTCTGTTATGTGGATACTGTTGATTGGCATATTGTGAAATACCATGTCTCTGAAATTTGAGGAATTAGAGTAACTGAAGTATCCAACTTTGTATCTCAAATGATGTGGCTGATTTGAGATTCGATGCCTTCATTTATATATGCTTTTATCGTGTTGATCAAATTTTACATCGTCTGAAATACAAAATTGAGATGCTTACTTTGTAAGTGTAGTATTATAGCAATATTAATATCTAGTTTCGATAATTGTGGCGACTATTTGATCTAGCATATGCATATGATTGTTTCAAGCATAAAAAAATGTCTTTTTTTCGTATATGAATTAGGTGACAGTGACATTGTCTAGGTCATCTAAGGTGTTAAAAATCACGCGGCTAAAAATTTGGGCCTGTATATAACATTGTGCGTTGCCTTTGATCTCTGTGTATCGTTTTGGATAGTCTGAGTGGTTTTCTTTCTTGTGAAATGGTTATACATACATGTACTGTAAAAATTTTCTTGACTAATAAGTTTTATAAAAGCATCACTTAACCAAGCTATACTATGCCATCTCACATTACCTTCTTCTGAATACCATGTCGAACCAATTAATTAAAAAAAGTATATGTCATAATCTTTGAAATTGTAAGATATTGCCGTAGATTTAAGTGTGGTGGGAAGATTTTTCTTTGGCCATTGGAAAGTTATGTTTGTTATGGGTGTCAGAAGTTAGAAAAACTGGTTGTTTTCCTTTTTGACCCTGTTTTTAGCCCATGTTAACTTAGTAGAAATTTGAAGTTATTCATTTGATGGAAATTGGTTAAGAAATTTTTGGCATGAGTGTTAGAAAGCATTGTCTGGCCGCTTTATTTGCAGAATGCTTGTTATTCTATCTGTACGAGATTGCATGAGAATGCTGTTGACATTCTGTCATGTTCTTGCAATTTCTCTTTTAAAATGAGAATAAAAATCCCTGTTGTGTTTTATTTATGTTGTTTTGGCCTCCAAGTGCTTCCTTTTTATTTAAATAGATATCTTTAATAATTCCTCTGCGTATCATGTTCCTTCTGGCCCTTGGACCTTTATTAATTTTGGATAATTGCTTGCAGGAGCCTCTCTGTTCCTTGCACTAATGATAGACAGACTACATCACTATATCAGAGAACTTCGCATTCGAAGGAAGAGCATGGAAGCTGTAAAGAAACAAAGCCGAGATTTTGAGAATGGGAAAGCTGCTGGTTCAGAGGAAAAAAAGGCCTTGGAGGAAGAGATGACTACACTGAGGACCAAATTTGAGCAGCTGGAATCTGAGCTTGAGTCGAAGACGAAGGAGGTAAATGCTGCTGAAACCAATGCAGTTGCTTTAAGGAAACAATCTGAAGGTTTCCTTCTTGAATATGATCGTTTGCTCGAGGAAAACCAAAACCTACGAAGTCAGTTGCAATCTCTAGACCGAAGATTGTCGCATTCAGGTAGCAAGAAGAATACCTAAGGAATTGAACACCCTTTGCCAAATATTTCCATTTTCCTTTACATTTTTCATGTCTTTAACTTGAAGTTCCATCATAATTTCGTTGGATACGCTGTCATGTATGCAATCTTGTAAGTGTGAAGAAGAAGAGGGGAGGGGAGAGTAGATTTTTGTGTGTTCGTTTTAAGTAGAGCTAGAATGGCTAAATCTTGACCTGACAAATTGTAAGACATTATAAGGTTTTAATAACAAAGAATTTTTACTGCTGGTTTTTGTTTCATTTCTGAATATAGACTTCATCTCATATAAGATCTGAGAACAGGAATTTCAAGAAATGTTGTTGGATATTAGTGAAGCTCGGCCTTATTTACAAATGGAGATCAAGATTTAAGATAGCTTGTGATTATCTTTTCCCATTTACAGTTTCTTCCACCTTCTGCAGAGCAGAAGTCTTTGATTTCGAATTATTAACAAAACTCATTAGGGGATCATCTTCTTGCAAAAGCCTACTGGTTTTGGCTGCAGTGAGCACCATCAACCCAATGAAAAATAGAACTGACAAAGATGTTATCACAAGTTTCAGTACTACTGCTACTTCAGCTTTCACCTCCTGCGCGTATCGGATAGAGGCCAGAGCCAGAAATGTTGTTGGGAACGAGAATCCCCACCATGCTACATTGAATTTCCTCACTGCTTTCTTGAAAAGAACTGGTCTACAAGCCTGTTAGAAAGAAGACAACAGAGATTGGTGAAATTTTATAGACAATTGATAACTGATTAATCATGTCCCTAATAAAACTAGCTAAGTATGAAATTCCGGTTTGCTTCATGATAAAATTACCAGAGAAATGAAGAGGAACAAAGCCAGAAAGAAAAGCATCTTGCAGGTGGTATCAAAAGCTCCCGTAATCGAGTACCAAGCTAAACTTCCCAGGCTCGGTGCAGCAAAGAACAAGAAGAAAGTTGGTCGCAATATTGTAGGGAAATGACTTCTATTTGATAGATGCTGGTAAAGCGTTATAAAGAGTACCATATAGTGCACCATCCCCAGAGAGAACATGCAAAGAGCACTCTCCTTCCCTTGCATATGTGCAGCAGCTCGCGCCACCACAAAGTTCCCTATCACCGAAATCTGGCTAGTTGGATTTGCAAATATGGATAGAAACCTCTTCTCTGTGGTAAACCACTGGCCGTAAATCTTTATATCAAGGATCAAAATTGGAATGGCAAATATCCAACAAAGAACCGTGAAGGGAATGATATTAAGAGCATGGTGGACACTTTCCGGGGCTGATTGAAGCAAAAGAAGGAGCGATATCCATGGAGCATATAAGTAGTTGACAGCTACATGATTCAAGAACTCAGCCTTCACCAAGTGAAAGTGAAAGAAACATCTGAGAATATAGAGGAAAGATAGTGATACTTGGGCTAAAAGAGCAAACCACCAAAGCAAGAGAAAAGCTATAGAAGGGACTATGCAAAGTACATCAGAGACATGTTTTGATGGATCATTTTTGACGTTGGGTTCACTCAAAATCTTCCATACTAAAGCTTGGGCAGCAATAGAGAGGGTTATTCTGAAATAGCCTGCATGAAGCCTAGTTAAAATGGAAGATTTTGATGGCTTTGAGTTAGAGATATCAAGTGATTGGGCATTTGTTTCTTGTCTGGTCGTGATGGCACTGTCGATTACTATTATCTCAAGTGCCATTATAGTATAAAATTATAAGAGTGACTTTATGAGACTACAAGTTTATAGGAAGCTTTGCATTTCCTATCCATTAGTGGTGCTTATATAAGAAAAGAAATGGGGATTAGACACGATTTAAAATTCGTTTAGTTGGTTGACTTAGCACAATCGCTCAAGTTGATTTTACAACATGACCAATTGCAATCCATGCGTTCAAGTTAATTAAAAATGTCTTTTAACATTGTACTTGCCTTCCTCTGATACAAAATAAATGACCTATCTAGTTGGTAATCCATGTTCAGTTTTGTATCTAACTTAACACACACGCAATTAACTATTTCTAGAGTTGCAGGTTAATAGAATGATCTTATTACTCCGCCACCTAATTACCTCATCACTACAGGCAAATTCTTATTCAAATTTATAGTCTTTAACGGACAAAGCCTGAGATAAATAAGATCAGACCTCCTTTTTATATTTAATGAGGAGTAAGTGATTACGTAGAACTAGTTGCTAGTATCAAAATTGAACAAAGCCTGAAGGAATAAACTTGGGTTTTTGTTGATTTTTCAAAATATGACCACTTTTGCAAGTGAAGTCAACAATTTAGAGTAGAGTGTAAATGAAATGGGAAGTCAAAAGTTTCCAAAGCAAACAAAGAGTTTCAATGTTGGTGTTAAACTCCCACGTTAACTAAGAGATGAGGGTAAGACAAAACCGTACGGGTTTGTCAGTAGCCCAACTTGTGTTCGAAAGCAAACAATACCTCTCGGAATGCACCTACCGTATGATTGGAGACAGCATCAACATCAAAAAAATTCGACTCACAATATGCATAGCTCACGGTGCCAAAGTAATTTGGACCCATCATTTTATAAATCAGATGTCTGGTCATTTCCAGTGATTTTGATTCATCACTAGATTTACCAAAAACAAAGGGAGAGTTCTTCAAAGATACTCGTAACCATGCACACGTTTGTCTTGTCGATAAGCCATAAAGAATCAATTAAAAGAGGGTCAGTGATACGTTCTAGCTCGAAAGATATATAAGTAGGTAAGAGTGAAGAAAGGAGAGAGATAAGACATGGAATTAAGAGATAAGGCACTGGCTCTTGATGTAGGAGCCTGAGTGGGATTGGCTGACAAGAAAGGTTTCTTTCTTTATTGCTTTTCCTAATTTCAAGTTAGGTTATCGTGGATTCCTCTTCATCCACATTTGCTCCCTTATAATTTTAGTCACCTAAACGCAATCAGAAAAATAGCTTTGTATACATATAAAAATAAAATAAAATAAAATACTCCTATTGTACGTTATGAACATACAACACATGTTGAAGAGTCTTTCGCGATCACATCATGTCAATTTATATACAAAGTTTGCTAATGATATGTCAACACACTTATGTTAGATCCCTTTGCTATTTTTTTCCATCAGACCACTAAGTACTAATTATTCTGAAGATATTTAAATGCCCCTATTAGGTATTAAATCTCAACTTGCTGTGAGAAGCCATGTAATTTATGAAGGAACATGCCTGGTAATTTATTAATCTCTCAAGTCTCAAGTGTCGTGTTGAGCATGTCATTTAAGATAACCATTGTTATAGCCTGTAGAATCTGTATATCTGAAAGGAAATACGATACAAGGCTATGTATGCAAACTATCTCATCCTAAAAAGCTTGGCTCTTAATTCCAAGCGTTGGTGCCCAAAATAGTTTAGGTACCCTTCATGGATCTTTGAGAGAAAGAAATTAGTGAGAGATGATTGAGGGAGTTGACTGACAGAAGTTCAGATTGCTTACATTTGCAGGTCAGGAATATGAATATGAAAATGTTTACGCATATATAGAGACCATGATTTTGAGAATAAACTTCAGAAAATCAATATTCTAAGGTTTTGAGGTCGAAGTACTCAAATTGAGCAAACGCAACAACGCATCTCAGACTCTCAGCCATTCATGCCTTGGTGCATAAACAAAGTCTCTTCACAAAACAACTTTTTCTATGTACCCAACTCTTTTAGTACCAAGAATTTAAAAAAAAAAAAAAAAAAAAAAAAAATTAGGAAGAGAAGTTCAAAAGAGTGGTGGCTTTTCAAGTGGGTTGTGTTTATTATGCTTGATGATGCAAAAGTGATTTTACGCAACTTTTTCTATATGCCCGACTTTTTTCTATAACCTAATAGACAGTGGAGACTGTAGAGTCCAGTGGTGGATCCAGACTTTTTGTTTAGGTTGGGTCAAAATAAAAACTAATTACATATAATATTTTTGTTCTATTATATTTTTGTTAGGGTGGGTTAAAATCCAAAATAAATATATATATAATATTAATATTTAAAAAAAATTGAGAGTGGGCCATGGCCCACCAAAAGTGGGCTGGATCCGCCCTGGTAGAGTCTACCTTTAACCCGAATTTAACCAACAAACAAATCACTATTGTGGAGTGGCCGGTAGGAGGACAAGATTTTTTTTTTTTTTTTTTTTTGGATGACCGCAGGTGTTCGAGTCAGCTTATACATAAGGTCGGCCCAAGGGATAGGCAGGTAAGGCACCTGCCTAGGGGCCCCACAAAGGGGCCCCAAATTATTTTAAGATTTTTTTAAATAGATTTACATTCGGCCTAAAAAGGTTTATAATTTTTTATCCAAACCGGTCCAAAGGGCCCCAAAACCCTCAAATTCATTATAATTTTTTTACATAAATTTACAAAAAAAAAAAACCATGTTTCATATTTTTATTCACACCCCTAAATTAACTAAAATAATTATTCAAATGTCTAAATTTTCAAAACATCCCTTCAATCCCTAAAATGATGAAAACATTGCATCTCCACCCCTCTACACCGCGATAGTGCCATTGTCAGTGTTAAAGTGATGATTCTGGTCAATTTTCTCACCAAAATCGACTAGATTCATCACTTAATCATTTCCCAAACGTTTTCCCAGCCTTAATAACTCCCAATTTAGCTGATTTTTGCAACCCATTTTCATTCTTCACTGCATGCAACAACCATTTCCGACACGTATCCGCTGTCGTTGACCTTCCCCGACACCACTATCTTCGTCCCCTCAGCCCCCTCCCCAAAACCCCTCACTTACCTGACCCTGGTAGCCCGCAGGTCACCTTCCACCTCTCACCCTCACAAAAAATATTAGGTAATTTGACTATATTATCAATTGAAAAATATTTGGTTTCTAAACTTGAATATAAAAATTTAATTAGTGATTTTGTATCTCAAAAGACAAAAAAAATAAATTTGAAATAATTTTTTAATATATGCTTATATTATTAAAAGAGCCCTAAAGTAACTCTTGCCTAAGATCACAAATATTCTTGAGACGGCCTTACTTATACGCACCTCAACTAATCTTTTGGAATCTTAGAACTACCGGTCGAGTAAAAACTCTAATGGTTACCCCTATTATGTTTTTGCTTTCATAAGTTATATATTTACTATTATGTATTCGTTTGTTATTACGCCGTGTCAATTTATGTTTTGTTTCCATAAGTTATAGGATTTATGTTCTCTCATGAATACATACATGATAGAAGATCATTGTTTTTCGCTTTCAAAATATTATAGAATTCAACCAAAAAAAATTAATTAATTTCGAACTCCAATTTGCAAATGAGAAGACCTCTGAATTATAAAAAAAAAAAATTAGAAGTAATGAATGTGGAGAAGATAAAATCAGTCTGTTCTGCAGCCATTTAGATATGGTGGGCCAAATGTTGATTTAGGAGGATGGTGACTCAAGTAGAAGCTTTAATTGTAATTGGACATTAGGAAAATTTGTTCTCATGTGTCCTTGAACCATTTTTTAAGTAAACCAAAGCAATCACGTTCATTGAAATAGATTAGAAAATTGTGCTTCGTTCTGGTTAAATCAAAGAACAGAGATATCCTCCTCCATTCATTGAAGTAGTGTAGGATTAGTGGAGAAAAAGTTATTCCTTTTAATTTTTAGCCAAAAAAAGTGTACAAAAGCAGCCTGCCTTGTTATCTTCCCCTTTTTGCCTTCAGAAAAAATTATTCAAGTCCTGCGAGGAATAGGGCCAAATAAATGGCTCTTGGAGAAGCTTAAAGGTTGGACAAAAAACAAGAGTCAAGGAGGATTTAGTAGAGAATGTATATATAATTGAAAGACAAACTACTTTCTTTATTAAAGTTAGAGTTCTGCGTAATCTACCATTTACACATTTACATGGCATCAGTGAGCTTTTTTCATGCTTACTGCTATTGCTGTTACATGTAGTTATCTCAGTAATTCTAATGGGTTCGTTAGGGATATCGGAGATATATTCCTGTAGAACCCAAATTGAATCTCCCCCACGGGAACTTGTGGCTTCATTTTCACATGACAAGAAACAATTTTGGCTAACTGTGGCAGCCTCTGGCTCTTTGCTGCTATTACTCCTCCTCACTGTGACCCAAGTTTCATCCCAGGTCCAGTTGAGCATTTCTGAGCTTCCTTCACTCAACTGCCGGATTCTTTCCTTGGGAGAAGTTGAATTACTTTTCTGGGTTGAATTCCAAGTTGTCTCTAGCCCTTCTTCCATGGAGTGCCAAAAGCCTTGATCCAATACACTTGTTGGAGTCTCCAACTCGTTAATGTCGATTTCTGTCAAGAATGAATCCAGTTTGTTCACAAAGTCATGTTTCAGAAGTTCACTAGCTGACCATCTCTCCAATGGGTCTCTTTTCAAGCACCTTTCCACAAAATCTTTACCTTGTTTTGACATGAACCTTGGTATTTCTGGGACATCGCTTGAAAACCCAATTCTGTAAAGGGCGGATACCGGGTCGGATAGATTAACCCATGGAGCCTGCCCGGTAGCCATCTCGACAACGGTACATCCCAGCGCCCACACGTCAGCAGGGAAGTCTTGTTCTTCACCACGCGCCACCTCAGGTGCCATGTAGATAGGTGTGCCACTGATTGGCATAGTTGAACGCCAATCATCACGTGACACCTCATCCACCCGCCTAGCACAGCCCAAGTCGCAAATTTTTGCCTGACCGTCATTACTGACCAAAACATTCTGACCCTTGATGTCACAATGCACTATTCCATTACAGTGAAGATACTCCAGCCCTTGTAACATTGCCCTTGTGTATGATCGGATTCTGGCCTCATCTAGACGACCGCCGCCACCACGCTGGTGAATTGCATCGATAAGCGTGCCACCGGGTGCATACTCCAAGAAAAGATTGTACAGAAGCTTACCATTTTCAGATGAAATGTCACACCCTTTATACGCTACAATTTGAGGACACATCAACGTAGAGAGAATTCCTTGTTCCCTTTTGAGCAATTCTGAATTTGAGACCTCAGCTGACTTCACCGCAAAGACTTCACCAGTCCTGTCATCTGTGGCAATCGAGACGGCGGCACTTGAGCCCCGTCCAATAATCCGGCCCCGGGTCCAATTCATTTTAGGATGTTGAGTAGGGTGGGGAGTGAAAGATGATGAAATGTTCAGTTGGGTTTTGGTTTGTTTAGTCTGTTAGGTCAATGTATATATATATGCATGAAGTTATGCCTTTTATGAGCTTTTCACTTTACATTATCTTTGATTGTAGCCAATGGACGGCCGCCGTTTTTTTCTCTCACTAAAGCTGAGGGTTCCACGTGGCAAAAGAAGGGGTAATGGGAAGTTTTTTTGGCCGACTTGGGCGGCGGGATTACTTAGCTTAACAATGAATTATACTACCCACGTGGGAGCTTGGTGGATTGGTCGTTAATTAAGATAGAATACAATGGATTTGAAGCATTCGATGGGATATTCCTTCGGCTGCTTTTTTAATATAAAGTTCTTAGTCTAGAGTGCTTGACTTTTTTGGAGGATTAATTAATAGATAATTATGAAATAAACCTTGACTTTTGGAGATACCATGAACCCATTTACAAGTTTCAGTTGTAGATTCATTTGTATTTAAAGAGAAGGTCACTTTGACACGAGACGTTTATCATTACAATAGGTATCAAATAGAGGTGTAGTAATATATGCAACTAAAGCACCCTAATAGACTCGTAGAGCCATCTATTTTCATTGTTTAACTCTTTGACAACACTAAAAAAAAATTGGTTTGACGGTCAAGGAGATCTGCTCCATTCTTTAGGTTATTGTTTTCAAACTTTTAAACCACCTACTATAATAACATTATAGCTTAGTTAATCATTTGGGCTTGTAAAGTGTTTAATAGACTATATAAATTAATTTAGATATACACAAACTAACCTAAATACTCTGAATACCAATATATATATATATATATATATATATATATTATTCTCCCTCTGTATCTATGTATGGAAGTATACCCAATTGAATTACAACTATCAAATTGGTAATTTTTTATCTAGATGTCACATGGGTAATAACTAAAAGGACAAGTGGAAGTTTATTGTAACATGGAGTCTTTGATTTTTGTGCCAAACACACCCAAGAAACTATGGTTGAGTTTATCCAGATTCTACAGCTAAGTATTCTTGGAGAGAAGGTGATCCTAACAAGGAGGAGATTGGAACAAGGATAGGTTTATTGTAATAAACACCAAAAGGCAAAGAATCTCTTGGAATCTAGTTAGTTCTAGATGGGTAAAGCACCTCAAGAAACCCTCCCAAGTTGTGTTCTCATTTTTATCTTAATAGTTAGTTATGAATATCAACAACTTGTCGTCTTTTTTTGTAGTTGATTACTTCGTTTGTGGGTTCATTATTTTTGGAGGCTTTTGACAGTTGACACTTTGCTTGTGCTAAGTTTTTTATAGTACAGTTATACGTTCCTTCCAAGCAATATGCCAATACCATTACCCGCCAATCATCTATTTGCTTGCTGAAGTTCCTTCATGTGCCGGCCCTCCACTCCACTTTCAACTTTCAACTTTCGGTTAAAATAAGGGCTGAGAGTGATGTGCTTGAGGCCCACACATTTAAGGTCTTTACAGTCAGCATTTGAATTCACTTTGTATAAGCTTTAAAGTCAGTGCTTCATTGGTGAGTCTCTTTCAAAGCCTGCCGTGTACATTTACGAATAAGAGAAATCTATTATAATTCTATGAATACGATATATAAGAGTACAGAACACCATAAACCCAATACATAGTTAATAGAGCAAAAACAATCCTAGTTTCTAACCCGACACAACCCATACATTCTATCTATAATGTTTAATAACTCTACCTACTGTATTCTTTATTAAACAGTTTTTCTAAAAATATATAATTTTATATGGAATCAAATAAGAAAACGACCCACATATCCCAACACAAGTCAGCATTTGAATTCACTTTGTATAAGCTTTAAAGCCATGGTTAATTCGTGAGAATCTCTTCCAAAGCCTGGGTAAGGTGAAGTGGACGACACAAACTTTCCACTTTCCAAGCCTCTGCTTTTCTAAAGGATAAAGTGAGTACTACAAGGTTTGTTATTGAACTAAGTTATCTTAAATTTTATCATCACAGAATTTGCCCATTCCCTTATTAATGTGTAAAAAGACGAAACTTCAAGAGTAAGATTCGAACTAGAGGTTGGAATTAGGCCCACGCCCAAAACACCCAGCCTAAAAAACCCGTACTAGGGTCGAACCACGCCCAAAGGAGGAGGGTCCCCAGGCCCCCCCTCACCAATTTTTTTTAACCCTTAAAATATCTAAAACCCTCTATTTAATATAAAATTCACAATAAATGAAAAGATTAAAATGAACTTTACCAAAAAAATTTGCCTTGGGCTGATCATATGGGCCCATGACGGGTCCAGACCCTGAGAAATCTCTTGGACCCAAAACCGGTCCCTGATTATTTAGGCCCGGGCCCGGACCTTGAGGGCCCAGGCCCAGGACCGACTGGGCCCTGGCCTTTCCCACCTCCAATTTGAACAAATCCGGCACAAAAAGAGCAAAACAATACTTACGAACACTTGTGTAATCTTTTTTGGTAGGAAAAGGAACTTGATGATGAATTAACAAAGCACGGCGGTAATTTTTGGTCAAAAACTTGAAGCAAATAGTTGTTTCTACTAAATAAACAAGCACAGGAACTATTTACAAGCAGCAGGCATTGTCTGAGGCTGAGGCGATCACCCTATATCTTTATAAATTTACATAACACACTATCAGATAAAAGACGGATGATTTAAGAGTTGAGGCATCGACGTCGACCATTTTATGCTGCCTCAGCAAAGCCAACTTTCAGTTTACCATAATCAAAGACTGTGTGGTATTTACCCATGAAGATATCTCCCAAGATCCTGCATTAACACGAATGCCAATTTTGAGAACAGGACTACTAGACAGAGATATCAAGTAAAAATATGTAGAATCGAATCGTTGAACGTTTAAACAACATGTGAAAAGAATTACCAGAGAGGTCCACGAGGAGGAGGAATGTCCAAACCAGTAAAGCCACTAATGCACTGAGCTGCAGGGCCCTCACCCACTTTCAGAATGTACTGATCAAATCACCCAGAAAGAGTTCCATGAGTTAAATAATATAGTATCAGAGATATATACATGAAGCCTTACCTAGTGCTAATTATCGGAAATCCAGACAAGTACTTATAGAAGAATAATAAGTGAGCTCCGATCTAGAAATGTTATGACCCATACCCAAAACCAAAAGTATTTATGTTACAACATTCTTGTTTTATATTTTAGTGCACCGGACACAGGTAATAAAATTAATTTAATTTTTAGGTCAAAAAAACATATAAATGTAGGAGCATATTCATCTACTAGACCATGACAATCTTTTGATGTAATATTGTTCTTCAGCATCGATTGAAGACCCTCATACAAAGCAAGCAAATCTAAGTTGCGGAGGAACCTCACACCAACGACCAACAGAACATGCATGATAGCCACCTCTAATTACAGTGTTATTATCTTTAATTATTCTAATTTGACAAATGGAGAATGATAAGTATTCAATGTCAAAACAGAAGAATTCAGTTGGTATTAAGAGGCAGGAGAATATAAGAGTAAGTAAACAAGAAATCTAAATTCAACTGATGCTAGCATACAGACAAGGACAAATAAAAGCCACCAATTATGAACATAATGAAAATCATAACTACAACTAAATCAGAATTATCTATATTGAAAAGGATAACAAAAATGAGTACTAGTTACAGTGCTGCCATACCTCCTTTGATGATAGGTCAAAAACTTTGCCACCAATAGTGAATGAAACCACAGGCATAGAAGAAATCTTTCCACAGTCAACAGCTGATTCTCCATTGGGACTAGGCATTCGGTCACAGAGCTGCAAAAATAGCCGAGGGTGAAGCAGCATAAGACAAAATGCCATCTCACATCACAAGCTGAACAATTTATTAAATGAACTATCATGTCTATCTCACCTCATTTACATATTGCAATATACGTTCCTGAGTTTGATTCTGCTGCAGCTGGTTTTCCATCCATACAACTGCCATCTCACAAGCTGAGCACATTGTGTCATGAACAATACTAGAGGACTTGCCATTTCTCTCATCTACCACACTCTCAATGCCCACACTGTACAAAAGAATATTTTGTTTAATTATAAACTAAAACGAATATGAAACAGATTTTTCCCAAAAAAACAAAGATATAACTGTTAAAAAAGAAAGGATATGAAACAACATAGGATAATAATGAAAATGAATCCTGAGATCCTGACCTAACACCACGTGTTCCATCAAAGGTGCACAATCCCATTTGGGAGCAAACCTTCTTAGGTCTTGCCTGACAGATAAAGTAGGAATAGCAACGTCAGGGCAACATGTGAATAAACATATCAGCCAGCATCCCCCGTAAAAAAAGTTCTGAACAAAATGTGATCAATTACTTACCTCAGCTAGAAGTAGATCCAAAAGCATTTGTCCATATTGTTCAACAACTGACTTGCATTCTTGGCTAACAACTCCAGAGGCTCCAATGGCATGATTTATCATGGTAATCACAGTCTGCAAATATCAAGACAGAAGCTGAGAGCGAATTCCATTTACTGAGTAGACATTACATCACAGAACTCATTAAATCATTGTTTATGTTCAAAAATTTGAGACAAATGCTTTTCTACGAGATTAGAAGACATGACAAACTTGGTGCCAATCATCAGTGGAGGATCACAACCATGTATGACCTAGACATTTAAGGCTAACATATTCACGATTGTATTCAATCCTTTTATGAAGAGAAAAGCAGTAAACATGCCAGTCAAATCAAAATTATTTTCTTTGTTATTTATGCTATCTGTAATTTGATAAATCTCACAGTTCCACATAATGAACTCCATACATCTAAAATAGTTTTGTGACTTATAACACAACCAAAATCCAGGCCAAAATGCAGAGGACATTAAGCAAACCATATCCCAATAGGAGATTGGTCAACAAAAATCCTAAAGTCCGACAAAATTGAATCATATTTTTCATACCGTTGGACCTGCCAGCAATGATGTCCCAGAATCTGCAATTGCTGAGCAGCCTCCAGCACAATATCCTGGAAAACAGTATGTGGAACAGTGGAAGTCAGAGTAACATAATGAGAACAGAAAAAACCATGTCAAATTTCACTTGTCTTTTCCGGTAAAAGCTTTTTTTTTTTTTAATCAGGAAACTCATTTCTACTTCAGTTTTAACCTTCTAGCGGAAGACTGTAAGTATCAAGAAGAACTTACCTGTTGGTTTACCACCAATCAGAACATCACCCATATCAAACTGTCAAGAAAATTATTATGGAACAAAATGAGTATATGCATAGGAAATATATATCTATGAAGATTTTGGTAGAATGCCAACAAATAACCAAACCTGCCAGTAGCCTTTCTGTGTCACAGGAACATATGTGTGCTTGCCCTTGTAATGACTTGGATCAACCCCCCCGAACACAATTTCACCACCTTCTTCTTCATCCACATGGCGGTTAAGCCAAAATGAAAAAACTGGTTCCTTAATAAGACCTTGTTTAACCATGTTGTCCCTGTACAACATACAGAGACATTGGAAACATAGAATACCATAACAGTATTAATAATTTATAGTAAATCAGCAATCAAATTAAGGATTGACACACATACCAGACTGGCTTAGCATTTCCAACAGAAATCTCTTGAAACCCAAGTCCTAATATACCATCAAACTTGGCCACCATAAATGTGACACCAGGCTCCTTGGTCGCCTCAATGAATTCCTGAAAAGGGAAGGGCAAAAAGATTAATACATGGCACTTTAACAAAACTACTGCAACATATGGAGAGGGTAAGAGATGCTTAGGTTTACCTGATCTTTCACAACCAGATCACCAACTTTGACGTGGTCATAACTAAAGAAACCAGAGATGGCCCCAGTACCATACTGAATGGCAGCAGGTTTACCTGCATCATCGATGATACCCAACAACTATCAAAATACAAGTTTCTAAATTTTGATCATCCATATGATAGATCCCCACACAACCCGTGCAAGTGCAAAAACCCCAATTTGCATTCTAATTTGTAATAGAGTTCCATAATAAATGTCTTCAACATTTTTGTAATATTTATGGAGAAAACATTTCACTCCTCAAGTTAATAAATAAAACAATTCACCAAATAAATTTTAGACACCCTCAAGTCCGTGCAGGCAGAAAACTAACCATTCTTCTTGTAGGTGCTTGATTGGCTTGACTTGTACTTGGGATGCATGAAACAAGGGAGCTAGACCACAACACGGAAACATCATAATTAATAACCACCATCTTCAACAAGCTTCCTATTGAGACACATTCATAATAGAAACAAATGTAAAAGCTCACCGAGAAATAGCACTTAGATGAGGGCACCCACAAATTGGAGCTGCCTGTGTCAAAGATCACGGTGAAATTCTGTGGAGGAGTACCAATACCAATCTCACCATAGTACTGAGCATCCATATAGTTCTTCAATGCAACAATATCGGTATCCCTGGAATCACCAAGATTATTACCAAATCGATAGTTTCTAATAGAAGCTTCCGAAGCCTCTCCATACTCAGACTCAAGCCGGGCAGCAATCCGGTTGTTTGGATCCAATTTCATCTTTTTCAGCCCTATCCTAATAAATCCATCATTGGACGCAGAAGCCACCAAAGAAAACAGAAGCGTTGAAAGGAACAAGGACAACAACACTACTCTGGTTTTGGTTCCCATATTTACCTACAGAATCCACATTCAAAATCAACATTAAGAAAATGCAACAAATGAAAAAAATCAACGATCATAATCAAAATAAACAAAGATTTTTCTAATCAAACAAAGTATTTAATCCACAATCTTCCTCTATTCAGCAAAAATTCATCGACCTCTCAAGAATCTTATCCTAATTACAAAGAAAACCTCTCAGTTTAGAAAATAACAAAAATTAAAAATTAAAAAAATAAAAAACTGCCTAAGTTTTGAAATTTCTAATAAATCTCTGTAGCACCATCATAACCTCCTCTGAAATTTCGTCTACACAACCATAACCTTTACCAAGATTCACAAAACACAGAGAATACTAAAACTTTACAATTTACATGATAAATAATAAGCTATATCACCAAATTAAGGTTCATTACTATGTTCATTCATCAAAACTTCAACTCTAATTACACAAAAAACAATCCAACCAAACTTCAAAGCAACATAAACACCGCGATAATAATTATTAAATTATCAAATTAAAATGCGAAACTAAAACTTGAATGAAACTTTGCTCACCGAAATGTGATGGCTGATTAGTAAAGCGAAAGCAAAAAAAAAAAAAAGTAACTGAGTTCTGAGAGGAACAGTGCCTTGAAAGTTGAAATATATAGCTACCTGTCAGCCAACGGGCCCAGCTCAGCTGAGTTGGATTGTTTATCTTTTTGTTAAATATCAACCGTTTGATCTTTATTCAAAAGCGAGATTGTAACCGTTGATCTAGGACTCACGTAGTCCTCGTTTTGGGGGCCCTAAATATAGATAGATAATCCAAGTTAAGCGTGCTTTCGGAGGTGAAATATCTGGAACTTAGGACGAATCTTGGCCGTTAAAGTAAGGATGGACGGTGACTGGGGAGGGGAGAGTTTCGGATGCGAGGTAATGTGGTAGGTCGTGATGTAGGTGAAAGGATAAACTTAACGACATGGGGGCGTTATATCTGAAATTTGCTTACGTGTCAAGGAAGCATGCAATTTGGTTTGCTTAAAACGCGACACGTACTCCTTCTTTTCTTTATTTTTAAGGAGGGTTTTGTGGGGGCAGTATGAAGGGAAACTATCCGGTGTGTGTTGGTGCACCGAGCGTAGAAAAGAAGTATTGAGAGGAAGAAAGATGTTGCGGAGAAGCAAGGGCATTGTGTGACGGTTTCAAATGTAGAATTAATGCGATCCCTGAAACCCCAACTACAGCATAGTGTTGAGTGCAAGAAACAAAATTGGTACCAATATGGCCTAGTGAAACAAAGAATATCGACTAAAGGATTTATTAGGTGATCAAGGAAATTTGCTCACTTCTTTGAGTTTCTAGTGTAATAAATCACATATTGAAAGTATATTGGGAAAATCCTAAGCTTATAAATAGGTTGAGTCCCTTCACCTAATAGGTTAGTCTTTTGGGTGTGAAACTCTAAACCCGTAACAAGTGATATCAGAGCAGACCCAATTTATCTTTCGATGTCTCTCCAAGCACCCACGTAGGGGCGTCCACGTGTGATTATATGTTCACATGAGAATGAGGTAAATGAGTAGGTAAGAGGGCCCCATCTGTGAAGAGGGCGTCACAAGATTGGGTGGGAAAGAATCTAATGAATCCCACATCGAAAACATATTGGGGAAGTCCTGGGCTTATAAATGTGTTAAGTCCCTCCACCTAATAGGTTAGCCTTTTGAGTGTGAAACTCCCAGCCAATGACATTAGATTCGTACCTTGAGACTACTTACCACATTATGATTTATCTGATCCTTTAGGCTTGTATAGTGTTCAATAAATCATGAGGATTAGTCAATGTGCATACAAGTTGACTCAAACACCTCGATTGGCAACAAAATTGATAAGGGCTTGAGAGCTTCCAATGCTACATTAATTTCCTTTTCTAGGATTGGTCTCATCCAGTTGTGGAGCATCCAAAAATTACCTTGTAAAAGAGGCCTTAACTTCTTAATTGGTCAGCATTTGTAGCCCAACAACACCTCAAATGGGTTTCAACTATGAAACTTGAATCAACCCAAGTTAAGGGCCCGCTAGGTTCTCATTGAGTAATATAATTCCAACCCACTACTTGGTAAAATTTATGAAAAAATAAATTCTAATTACTGGCCAATTTGTGTAAATCTCAACTAATCCCTAAGGTTTATTGAACATCATTTTTTGGGTAATTGGGGTGTCTGAGTCAGTTTAAGCATATCTCAACTAATGATCGGGATCCATTAAACACCCTACAAGTCCAATAGACCAGGTAAGTCATAAATATAGTAGATGATCACTTTGTGTTACTCAAACACAAAACCTCTGAGTACCCATAATTAGTGATGGCAATGGGTCGGGCTAGGACTGGGTACGCCTTGGCCCAGGCCCAAGCTAGATCTCATGACAAAGGCCCAAGCCTGGCCTGGGCCCGTCACGGGTATGACAAGTAAAGCCCAAGCCCGGCTCGACAAACTTTTTGTAACCTCATGCCCGGCCCAAGCCCACCCATTTTTATAATTTTAATTTTTAAATATTAATAAATTTCAATTTTTTTTCTATTTTTAATTCTAGAAACAATTTTTAAATATTAATTTATTTTTTAATACTCACCAAATATATAAATAACTTTCCACAAAGTGCATTCATCCATCATTCCATCTATGTAGGGTTTGAAAAAAATGAGTATATATATGTAGGATAATCTTGTAATTAAATATATAATATAAGGGTAATTTAGTATAATTAATACTAAAATTATCCAACCAGGCCTGAAGACATACTCAAACCCGGCCCGTACCCGAGGCCGGGCCTTAAAATCAGAAGCCCAAGCCTGCAAACATCAAGTAAAGCTCGACCTTTTTGGGCCGGGTCAGACTGGATACCTAGAAATATCGGATCTATTACCATCTCTACCCATAATCTCGCCATCGGACCATAAGCGAAGTGGTTTTAAATTTTTAATAAAGCTTTATTCTTCACCCGCTAAACGTTAATCCAATGGCTAGGTCGAGCCAGCGGTTTATTTATTCTCACAAAGTTTAGTGTTATCTTTGTTTCATTCATTTGATATTACTTCTAACATCAAAACATAACGCAACCCCCAATCTTAATTCAACCAATTTACGTAACTTTCTTTTCTTTTCCTTTTCTTTTCTTTTCCAAAGCTAATTTAATTGAACTTGGCAACAATTCACCAAACTTGTCCTAATTTTAGACCACGAAACTTTAAGATATAATTAACTTCAAACCCTTTACTATATATGCCAACTTCATAATGAATAACAATCCGTGAACCAGAACTCCAGAAAGATCAATACAGCAGCCAACCACTGCTCTTTTACCCAATTAAAAACCATCCTCCATTTAATAAACATTTTACGGTACAATGAACTTATAAAAAAAAAAAAAATCATGCAAATCCCTCTTCAACCGGCACATGCGTGCATGTGCCATGAAAATTACACGATAACACACAGATTTTAGTACGGTGGATTGAAGAAGAAAAAGTACGGTGCGACCCACACAGTTCCACGTTCATCAGTTCCATTTTTTTTAATTTGATTGATTGGTGATTGGTTTATACAGGAGCCTGAGCTTGACATGATGTCAAATATATGCACGAAAGTCAAAAACGTATCTGAGTTGTCCAATTAAACTAAAGCACTTCATCCACATCCACGAAACTACAGTTTCTTTTTCTGTTATTGAATCATTTTGACTTCCTTTAACCTAATCCACATTCATTCATCATGCATTCATTATTGTATTGCTTTAACTTAACAGTCACGTAGTTTCCTGGAAGTCTCGGTAAAGTCGACTGTTTCAGGTTATTTCTTTCCAATTCATTACTCTCATTTTACGTGTCAAATGGTCATAGCCGTATTTTCTTGACCTCTCTCTGTCTTTTCTTGGAAACATAGTTTTATGATAAATCATCAACGAGGAGAAAAAAATCTGTGAGAACAATTATTTTCATAATGAAATAATAAGAAATTCCTGATGATCTGATCTCCATTCCCACCGTTACATAAAAAAGAAAAAATGAAATATATGAACATGTAATCTCGTTCTCAACCCCCAAAAGAGGAAAAAAAGAACTAACAAACATTGGCTGATTTATGAATGATGACAAAAATTAATTAAAAAAGATGAACAGGGTCCGGCGCTGGTCTTCTCAAATTTAATTTCCTGAGAAGCTGCCGATTTTATTGCTGTTGCTTGTGTTGTTGTTGTTGGGGTTGGGGTTGCTGTTACTATTGGAGTTGTTGCTGTTACTATATGGATGTGCACCACCACCGATTTGATTTGATCGCGGCAGCAAGAGCTGCTGTGAGTGTGATCGGCTGTGTGGCAGCCGTGGCAGCGCTCACGGTGTCAGCCGTGAGGAGATGCGGTGGTTGTTGGGGGCCTTGGGGCAATGACGGGGGAGAGTTTGGTGAGAATTAGAACCCAGTTCTTGAATAACTGAAAACCAGAGAATTTTGATTGGTTATATAGTCCCTGACTGAAAACCTGAGGCAACTGGGGGCTGATACTGACCAAAGTTTTGTGGCTGCCCTGGAATGGAACCTGGAATGTGTCGGAGGTCTATGGAATTGTAGAGGATTTGGTGAGTGTGTCAGGTCTAATGTCACCGTTGGAAATGGAGCTGAAGCTGAAATTGTTGCCATGCTTGATGAACATGGAAGAATAGCTCTAGCCAACAAATGGATTCATTATCCCATCTGCACTTGACATTGAACCTGAAAGTAACATGTTGGCAGCTGCTGTTGTGGTTGATGCCATGGCCATTGCAGCTGGAGCAAAGGATGATTAGATTCCCCTCATAAGTTGTTATCAAAATCGTCCTATCTTCCGCGCAACGTTGCACCTGAGATTTTTTTCATATATAATCATATAAGTTTCACTCTGATCACAGGATTAATTTAATTCCATTGAAATACTTTTGGAAAAATTAATCAAGCCACTTACTTGTTTACGAACTGGACAACCGACGGCCATGGTGCACCTGTAATAAGCTCGAGGACATGGGTTTCCTTTAGCCATTTTTTGTCCATATTTCGCGCATTGACATCCATCATGATCTGTAATTAATAAACCGAATAAAATTAATAACTTTCACGGTAGCTATTAATTTCAAAAGAAAAAGTAAAATTATTGAAGTTTAAACTTACCATGGGAGCTTCTGAGCGAGCACGGACCGAGACACGGGCTTTCCTCATGGTCGCTTCAGTCAGGATTGATCAATAGTAGTTTTAGATGATGAGAATTCAATTTCTGAACCTTGTTCGGACCACCCCAACCTTGAGTTTCAGATTCCGGGCTTTCTTCTCTACCGATTCTTTTGGAATTTCTTGTTCAAATGAAACCATCTCACCCTTTCCATTGCTTTTAGATGCCACCTCGATATTGTTCGGAGGCGTCCCCGATAGAGTCCTGTCTTCCGATGAAGAATTAGACAGGGCCTCATCTGTCTCAGCTGTTCCAGAAGGACCCAGATCCATAAATTGTCTCGGCACCATTACTTCATGCTTTTTATCATCAGCTTTTCCTTCAACAGTCTAATGATCGATATGTCAAATTTAATCAAGTCAGCTCCTTGAACAACCATTTTCACTTCAAAAGAAAAAAAAATTAAAAAATTCATTTATTCAATAATTAATTACCTCATGTTCTTGAGTGCTTTCTGCTTTTTGATTTTGTTGCTGTTGCTGTTGCATTAATGCAACAAGGTGCATCTGCAGCGCATTGTAATTGCTTGTAACTTGACTAAGCATGTCTCTCAGCCTCTGGTTTTCTGTATTCATATGTTGAAGCTCTCCCTGTAATTGGGCCAGCTGAAACAAAAAAACCATTAATTTCGTTGGAAATTCTCCATCTATTAAGAAAGACAAAGACACACTCTTCAATTCATAATCTTCTTACCTCAGTTTTAGCTCGTTTATCTTCCATATCAGATGAAACCCCATCATCCACCGTCGATTGATCACTTCCGGTGTTAGCAGTGAGAAGATGCAAGCCAGTCTATATTTAGTTAAAAAAAAAAAAAAAAAAAAACCATTATTAACAAATTCAATGGTGTGTTGAAAACGAAGAATAATTAAAGGAAACTCAAATTAGTTTCATACATTTACATCAAAACCAGTCCTCAAACGCCCCACTTCCTCATTGGAATTCTCCTTCTTGACACTAACACAAACGAGCTGTTGTGTATTACTATCATCACGATTATCAACAGCCCTCTTCTTATTATCAGAAAAGAAGTCAACCTCATCGACCACGACCCGGTTATCATCAAACGGCGGGGAAGGAGGAGGGCCACCGCCGAACTGAAACATCCTCACCACCGACGAGGAGGAATCACCACCGCCTATGTTGTTGTTGTTGTTCACCATTCTAAACCTGGAACCACCAGCTGCAGCAGCAGCCACTGAAGAGTTCTTGTTCTTGTTGTTAGTGAAGAAATAATTAGTGATAGGATCAGAATCAAGAGTAAGTCCCCATCCTTTGTCCATAAATCAAAGGTGAAGAATTAGAAAGAAGATAGATATAGAGAGCGCTGGGGAAGAGGAAGATAAATCAAAGGGAGAATTCTAAAAGATTGGATTATGTGTGTGAAGTCTGTGAAGTCTTTTACCGGTGCAATGGGCTCGCCTATAAAAAGGGTGTGGATCGTAGACTAAAGCATTGGAAAAAATTGAATAGAGATTTTTCAGATTTATTTTATTTTTAAGATAATTCCTTTCTCTTTTTTTACGTCAGATGGTGCGTCACTTTCCCAGCTGGCACTGGTCCAATTTCAAGCCCCTTGAATAGTTGAATGAAAGAGAAATTTAGAGAGTTTTTTAAGTAGTAGTAGAGTCGGGTCATCACTTGGGTTACCCATTATCCACTAAAGTCAGCTTTACAACTATTAAATTATATTAAATAAACTTTATTTTAATTATTTATTACGAGAATTTTGTTGATTTTTTCTTTGTTTCACGACTTCCTCCCTATTGGGTAATTCTCAGCCATTTCATTTAAAAAATAATATAGAATTTAAAGAAAATTGCTCTAAGTCTCAAATTATTACAAATTTTTGAACATTCTTTGATCACCAAAAAGTATTCGGATCAGTTTATGTACATCTTGATTAATCTTTTGGAGCTCTGAAGTTAATGATCGAATAAACTTTCTAATGATCACTCTTATTAGTAACTAAGAGAAATCGACCTCAAAAGTTCTTGAATAATACACTCAAGAGTTCATATTATCCAACTCCACCACCCAAGGATAGTTCTTCAAAAATAATATTGCATCTACGAAATTTCTAATTTAATTTAAGAACAATACTATATTTACAACTTTTTCATACAACCTGATGTGACAGTTTCTAATTTAATGTAAGAACAATACTATATTTATAACTTTTTCATACAACCTGATGTGACAATTCATGATTGGTCAATTCACAGTGGATCCCGTATGTCCAAATGCATTAGAGAGTGTTCAGATCAGTTTACGCACACCTTGACTAATCTTTTGGAGCTCTGAAGTTAATAATCGAATAAACTTTTCAGTGACCACTCTTATTAGCAACCAAGAGAAACCGATTTCAAAATTTCTTGAACAATACACTCAAGAGTTCATATTATCCAACTCGACCACCCAAGGATGGTTCTTCAAAAATAATATTGCGTCTACAAAATTTCTAATTTAATTTAAGAGCAATACTATACTTACAACTTTTTTATATAACCTGATGTGATAGTTCATGATTGGTCAATTCATAGTAGATCCCGTTTGTTTAAATGCGAGTTGACAAATTACGAACTATCACGTTAGAATTGTATAAAAAAGTTGTAAGCGTAATTTTATTGTTAATTTAAGCCAACGTTTTTTATTTTTTTTATATAATTTAGAAAAATATATACTGCAATTAAGGGATACATAATTTTTTTTCTTTTTTTAATCTAAAGTTAATAATAATTGTGAAGGGATATTAATGAAATTAATTGGAAAATAAAATAGAAAAAAATGTGAGATGGGTCGGGGATCCGAATTAAAAAAGGGAGCGAGTTGACAATCTGGAATGAGGAAGAAAGAGAGGCTTCGTCTACATTTCGTCAAGAAAGATATTGACTGGTTCTTAAATCAAAAGAAAAAAAATAAATATTAAATAAAATCACCATCCCACCGCCCCAAATTGTGCGGCGCGTTCCACGTGATCAAAAAGAAAATTACACTCTCAGATTGAGCCAACCAAGTCAACGAATTTGACGGCCCGCCTCTCTCTCTCTCTTAGTGTGACCGGTGACCGGGCGGGGAAGTAACCAAGTCGCCACCGTGGACCCACCCCCACCCCTTTCTTTTATTTACACTCTCCACACACTTTAGATGAAGATTGAAGAAGAGTCTCCACGTTTTGGATCTTAGCCCGGGAACCTTGTTGACTGTTTACCGGTGGGACCGAGTCACTTGGTTTGACTTTTTAGACTCCTCTGTTGTTTGTTCTTTACAACATGTTCTCATTTCTTGGTTTTCTTGCGACTGGTTTAAGTATTACCTGCAGATTGGTTAGACCGTAGCTTATTTTTTTATTTTAATTTAATTACGTATTTCTTTGATTTGGAATATATTATAAAGTATTTTATAATATCCCTAGTCATGATCATGATATTTAATTAATTAATTTGAACTGATTGATTCATTGATTGAGGATGTGTTTGACGGTAATTCATTGGTTTAGTTCCGTGATTTCAGAATATTATTAACAACTCAAATACAATTTATGAAGAGCAAATTGCCAAATTCAGAAATTAATTTTGAATAATTTTACAAAATTCTTAAATTAAAAAAAATTGCTGTTGCTGTTGCATTAATGCACAAGGTGCATCTGCAGGCATTGTAATTGCTTGAACTGACTAAGCATGTCTCTCAGCCTCTGGTTTTCTGTATTCATATGTTGAAGCTCCCTGTAATTGTGCCAGCTGAAACAAAAAACCATTAATTTAGTTGGAAATTCTCCATCTATTAAGAAAGACAAGAGACAACTCTTCAATTATAATCTTACCTCCTTTTAGCTCGTTTATCTTCCATATCAGTGAAACCCCATCATCCACCGTCGATTGATCACTTCCGGTGTTAGCGGTGAGAAGATGCAAGCCAGTCTATATTTATTTAAAAAAAAAAAAACCATTATAACAATTCAAGGGTTGTTGAAAACGAGAATAATTAAAGGAAACTCAAATTAGTTTCTTACATTTACATCAAAACCAGTCCTCAAACGCCCCACTTCCTCATTGGAATTCTCCTTCTTGACACACACAAACGAGCTGTTGTGTATTACTATCACACGATTATCAACAGCCCTCTTCTTATTATCAGAAAAGAAGTCAACCTCATCGACCACGACCCGGTTTCATCGACGCGGGGAAGGAGAGGGCCACCGCCGAACTGAACACTCTCACCACCGACGAGGAGAATCACCACCGCCTATGTTGTTTTTGTTGGGGGGGGGGGGGGGGGGGAGGGGGGGGGGGGGGGGGGGGGGGGGAATAAATCCGTGAACCAGAACCCCAGAAAGATCAATACAGCAGCCAACCACTGCTCTTTTACCCAATTAAAAACCATCCTCCATTTAATAAACATTAATTAGGGTACAATGAACTTATAAAAAAAATATCAAAAGAAGCTTGAAAAAAAAAATCATGCAAATCCCTCTTCAACCGGCACATGCCTGCATGTGCCATGAAAATTACACGATAAACACAGATTTTAGTACGGTGAATTGAAGAAGAAAAAGTACGGTGCGACCCACAAAGTTCCACGTTCAGCAGTTCCTATTTTTTAATTTGATTGATTGGTGATTGGTTTATATGGGAGCCTGAGCTTGACATGATGTCAAATAATATGCACGGAAAGTCAAAAACGTATCTGAGTTGTCCAATTAAACTAAAGCACTTCATCCACAATCCACGAAACTACAGTTTCTTTTTCTGTTTATTGAATCAATTTGACTTCCTTTAACCTAATCCCACATTCATTCATTCATGCATTCATTATTGTATTGCTTTAACTTAACAGTCACGTAGTTTCCTGGAAGTCTCTGTAAAGTCGACTGTTTCAGGTTATTTCTTTCCAATTCATTTCTCTCATTTTACGTGTCAAATGGTCATAGCCGTATTTTCTTGACCTCTCTCTGTCTTTTCTTGGAAACATAGTTTTATGATAAATCAATCAACGAGAAGAGAAAAAGAAATCTGTGAGGAACAATTATTTTCATAATGAAATAATAAGAAAGAATTCCTGATGATCTGATCTCCATTCCCACCGTTACATAAAAAAGAAAAAAATGAAATATATGAACATGTAATCTCGTTCTCAACCCCCAAAAGAGGAAAAAAAGAACTAACAAACATTGGCTGATTTATGAATGATGAACAAAAATTAATTAAAAAAAGATGAACAGGGTCCGGCGCTGGTCTTCTCAAATTTAATTTCCTGAGAAGCTGCCGATTTTATTGCTGTTGCTTGTGTTGTTGTTGTTGTTGGGGTTGGGGTTGGGGTTGCTGTTACTATTGGAGGTGTTTCTGTTACTATATGGATGTGCACCACCACCGATTATGGATGTGATCGCGGCAGCAAGAGCTGCTGTGAAGTTGGGATCGGCTGTGATGGCAGCCGTGGCAGCGCTCACGGTGTCAGCCAGTGAGGAGGACTGCGGTGGTTGTTGGGGGCCTTGGGGCAATGACGGAGGGAGAGTTTGGTGAGAATTAGAACCCAGTTCTTGAGATAACTGAAGACCAGAGAATTTTGATTGGTTATATAGTCCCTGACTGAAAACCTGAGGCAACTGAGGGGCTGATACTGAACCAAAGTTTTGTGGCTGCCCTGGAAATGGAACCTGGAATTGTGTTGGAGGTCTATGGAATTGTAGAGGATTTGGTGAGTGTGTCAGGTCTAATGTCACTGTTGGAAATGGGGCTGAAGCTGAAATTGTTGCCATGCTTGATGAACATGGAAGAATAGCTCTGGCCAACAAATTTGGATTCATTATCCCATCTGCACTTGACATTGAGCCTGAAAGTAACATGTTGGCAGCTGCTGTTGTGGTTGATGCCATGGCCATTGCAGCTGGAGGCAAAGGATGATTATGATTTCCCTCATAAGTTGTTATCAAAATCGTCCTATCTTCCGCGCAACGTTGCACCTGAGAATTTTTTCATATATAAATCATATAAGTTTCACTTCATCACAGGATTAATTTAATTCCATTGAAATACTTTTGGAAAAATTAATCAAGCCACTTACTTGTTTACGAACTGGACAACCGACGGCCATGGTGCACCTGTAATAAGCTCGAGGACATGGGTTTCCTTTAGCCATTTTTTGTCCATATTTTCGCCATTGACATCCATCAGTGATCTGTAATTAATAAACCGAATAAAATTAATAACTTTCACGGGTAGCTATTAATTTCAGAAAGAAAAAGTAAAATTATTGAAGTTTAAACTTACCATGGGAGCTTCTGAGCGAGCACGGACCGAGACACGGGCTTTCCTCATGGTCGCTTCAGTCGAGGATTGATCAATAGTAGTTTTAGATGATGAAGAATTCAATTTCTGAACCTTGTTCGGACCACCCCAACCTTGAGTTTCAGATTCCGGGCTTTCTTCTCTACCGATTCTTTTGGAATTTTCTTGTTCAAATGAAACCATCTCACCCTTTCCATTGCTTTTAGATGCCACCTCGATATTGTTCGGAGGCGTCCCCGATAGAGTCCTGTCTTCCGATGAAGAATTAGACAGGGCCTCATCTGTCTCAGCTGTTCCAGAAGGACCCAGATCCATAAATTGTCTCGGCACCATTACTTCATGCTTTTTATCTTCAGCTTTTCCTTCAACAGTCTAATGAATCGATTTGTCAAATTTAATCAAGTCAGCTCCTTGAACAAACAATTTTACACTTCAAAAGAAAAAAAAAAATTAAAAAAATTCATTTATTCAATAATTAATTACCTCATGTTCTTGAGTGCTTTCTGCTTTTTGATTTTGTTGCTGTTGCTGTTGCATTAATGCAACAAGGTGCATCTGCAGGGCATTGTAATTGCTTGTAACTTGACTAAGCATGTCTCTCAGCCTCTGGTTTTCTGTATTCATATGTTGAAGCTCTCCCTGTAATTGTGCCAGCTGAAACAAAAAAAACCATTAATTTAGTTGGAAATTCTCCATCTATTAAGAAAGACAAAGACACACTCTTCAATTCATAATCTTCTTACCTCAGTTTTAGCTCGTTTATCTTCCATATCAGATGAAACCCCATCATCCACCGTCGATTGATCACTTCCGGTGTTAGCAGTGAGAAGATGCAAGCCAGTCTATATTTAGTTAAAAAAAAAAAAAAAAAAAAACCATTATTAACAAATTCAATGGTGTGTTGAAAACGAAGAATAATTAAAGGAAACTCAAATTAGTTTCATACATTTACATCAAAACCAGTCCTCAAACGCCCCACTTCCTCATTGGAATTCTCCTTCTTGACACTAACACAAACGAGCTGTTGTGTATTACTATCATCACGATTATCAACAGCCCTCTTCTTATTATCAGAAAAGAAGTCAACCTCATCGACCACGACCCGGTTATCATCAAACGGCGGGGAAGGAGGAGGGCCACCGCCGAACTGAAACATCCTCACCACCGACGAGGAGGAATCACCACCGCCTATGTTGTTGTTGTTGTTCACCATTCTAAACCTGGAACCACCAGCTGCAGCAGCAGCCACTGAAGAGTTCTTGTTCTTGTTGTTAGTGAAGAAATAATTAGTGATAGGATCAGAATCAAGAGTAAGTCCCCATCCTTTGTCCATAAATCAAAGGTGAAGAATTAGAAAGAAGATAGATATAGAGAGCGCTGGGGAAGAGGAAGATAAATCAAAGGGAGAATTCTAAAAGATTGGATTATGTGTGTGAAGTCTGTGAAGTCTTTTACCGGTGCAATGGGCTCGCCTATAAAAAGGGTGTGGAACGTAGACTAAAGCATTGGAAAAAATTGAATATAGATTTTTCAGATTTATTTTATTTTTAAGATAATTCCTTTCTTTTTTTTACGTCAGATGGTGCGTCACTTTCCCAGCTGGCACTGGTCCAATTTCAAGCCCCTTGAATAGTTGAATGAAAGAGAAATTTAGAGAGTTTTTTAAGTAGTAGTAGAGTCGGGTCATCACTTGGGTTACCCATTATCCACTAAAGTCAGCTTTACAACTATTAAATTATATTAAATAAACTTTATTTTAATTATTTATTACGAGAATTTTGTTGATTTTTTCTTTGTTTCACGACTTTCTCCCTATTGGGTAATTCTCAGCCTTTTCATTTAAAAAATAATATAGAATTTAAAGAAAATTGCTCTAAGTTTCAAATTATTACAAATTTTTGAACATTTTTTGGTGATCAGAGAGTGTTCGGATCAATTTACGCACATTTTAACTAATCTTTTGGAGTTCTAAAGTTAATGATCGAATAAACTTTCCAGTGACTACCCTTATTAGCAATCAAGAGAAATCGACCTCAAAATTTCTTGAATAATACACTTAAGAGTTCATATCGTCCCACTCGACCACCCAAAGATGGTTCTTCAAAAATAATATTGCATCTACAAAATTTCTAATTTAATTTAACAGCAATACTACACTTACAACTTTTTCATACAACCTGATGTGACAATTCATGATTGATCAATTCACAGTGGATCCCGTCTGTCCAAATGCACCAGAGAGTGTTCGGATCAGTTTACGCGCACCTTGACTAATCTTTTGAAGCTCTAAAGTTACGGATCGAATAAACTTTTCAATGACCACCCTTATTAGCAATCAAGAGAAATCAACCTCAAAATTTCTTGAATAATGCACTCAATTGTACATATCGTCCCACTCGATCACCTAAGGATGGTTCTTTAAAAATAATATTATATCTATAAAATTTCTTATTTAATTTAAGAGCAATACTACATTTACAATTTTTTTATACAACTCTAATATGATAACTCACGATTGGTCAGTTCACAATGAGTTTCATCTGTCTAAACGTGAGTTGACCAATCGCGAGCTATCACGTTAGAATTATATAAAAAAAGTTATAAGTGTAATTTTATTGTCAATTTAAACCAAAGATATTTTTTTATATATATAATTTAGAAAAATATATACTACAATTAAGGGATAAATAATTTTTTAATCTAAAGTTAATAATAATTGTGAAGGGATATTAATTGGAAAATAAAATAGAAAAAATGTGAGATGGGTCGGGGATCCGAATTAAAAAAGGGAGCGAGTTGACAATCTGGAATGAGGAAGAAAGAGAGGTTTCGTCTACATTTCGTCAAGAAAGATATTGACTGGTTCTTAAATCAAAAGAAAAAAAATAAATATTAAATAAAATCACCATCCCACCGCCCCAAATTGTGCGGCGCGTTCCACGTGATCAAAAGGAAAATTACACTCTCAGATTGAGCCAACCAAGTCAACGAATTTGACGGCCCGCCTCTCTCTCTCTCTTAGTGTGACCGGTGACCGGGCGGGGAAGTAACCAAGTCGCCACCGTGGACCCACCCCCACCCCTTTCTTTTATTTACACTCTCCACACACTTTAGATGAAGATTGAAGAAGAGTCTCCACGTTTTGGATCTTAGCCCGGGAACCTTGTTGACTGTTTACCGGTGGGACCGAGTCACTTGGTTTGACTTTTTAGACTCCTTTGTTGTTTGTTCTTTACAACATGTTCTCATTTCTTGGTTTTCTTGTGACTGGTTTAAATATTACCTGCAGATTGGTTAGACCGTAGCTTATTTTTTTATTTTAATTTAATTACGTATTTCTTTGATTTGGAATATATTATAAAGTATTTTATAATATCCCTAGTCATGATCATGATATTTAATTAATTAATTTGAACTGATTGATTCACTGATTGAGGATGTGTTTGACGGTAATTCATTGGTTTAGTTCCTTGATTTCAGAATATTATTAACAACTCAAATACAATTTATGAATAGCAAATTGCCAAATTCAGAAATTAATTTTGAATAATTTTACAAAATTCTTAAATTAAAAAAAAAAATTATGTGAAACTTTGTCACAACATGGCTTGGGAGTGGCCGAGGCCCTCCTTGGAGGGCCAATTGTTGATGTACGGTTGTGTTGGATCTAGACACATGATAGGTGATTCTCAGAAGTATTGTCTGCTTTAGATCTTGGGATCCATATAGTTTTTGTCCTGAAAAGACACCTTTGGGTGGTGAGGGTGTCGTGTTTTAAATAAGTGATCAAAACCCCCGTCTCTTAACCGATGTGAGACTTTGACACCAATATTATTAATATGAATAAAAACTGTATGAAATGTTAGAAAATTGAAATTACTAATATGAATAAATATCTTTTTTAAGAAATTAAAAATATATTAAATATCATATAATAATAATATAATCAATAAAATTTTATTTGTATACATTCGAGTATTTTTCTTACTTAATTCATAAGTAAGTTTCTATTCTTTCAAGGCATACAGCTTTTTCAACAAAAAAGTGAAATTCTTCTACTTTAATTACCTTCTTTATTTACGTTTAAAGCTTTCTTTTGAAAATATTATCACTTTGGTTTGACACAAAAAAATAAAGGAACCTAATGATTTGAATGAATTAATCCACTACAACTACTTTTGTATAGCGGAGTGGTTCGATATGGACTTTTAGGTGTATTACTCAAGAACTCCTGAGTTTGAGTCCTTCTTCGGTTGCTAATAGAAATAGCCATTGGAACTCATATCCAACCGATAATTCTAGGGTTCCAGGAGATTACTTGAGTTGCATGTAAGCTACTCCCGGTCATCCAAAAAAAGAATAAAAAAAGAATTAATCCACTACTAAGCATGCTTAACACTTCATTAATTTTGACTAACAACAAGAATTAATAATCAATCAAACTCCTTCCAGAACTTCAACATCAAAATCTACCACACACACGTACGTCGGCCAAAGCTTAATTTCTAGCCAGCAAAGTTTGACAAACTGATTTGATCAAACGACTTTGATTTTCCATTTATAAAAACATACCGTACGCCAATGCAATTTCTATCCAGTTCCCTTTCTAATTTAGCTTCTTCTTTTAGCCAAACTCTCGTGGGGAAAGACTTTGGAAAAATCTAACGTTGATCATCTCTTAGTTTTCTTCTTTCTTTGTATGCATGGAATTGTGACACTTTGTATTCATATATAAAGTTGAAAAATATATATTATATTCTTAGATCATTCAACTATACGGCGCCCGAAAGTGAGAAAGTTTTAAAAGGAGGAGAATGTAAAGAGATATTCTCAAAGAGGATTCCTTTAATCGAATTCAAAATATTAAAGAAAAGTTGTGTTTTTTCCACAAGTTAAACCAGATTAATTAGAACGTGGAAAACAAAAGGGTTTTAGTTTCAAGACTTGAAGCAAGCAACCTTTGTTTTTTAATTAATTATATTATGAAAGTTAGACGTTAGTTGGCCATTAACTATTATCAAATTCAAAAGTAATGGCCTAATTAAGAAAATTGGTGTACTAATATATATTCTCAAAACGTGCATAATGAAACTAAATACTATTACCACCGACTTGATGGATGGAAAAAAATTAGTCAAGAATACTTCAAATCTTAATTTCACCTTGAAGAAAATTAATGAGATCAAGACCAACTCTCTTTTTTTTTTTTTTTTTTTTTTTTTTTTTTTTTTGGCCCTTTTTCATATTCAAATTTCAGCCGACATCATCCTCCCACCAGAAGTTTGTCCTAAAGACAATTTCATACCCAAACAGTTTGAAAATGATAATTACCCACCAACCGTTAAGATTTGCTAGACAGTTTTCATCCTACCATTAAGATATGTTAGTAAAATTCGTTTAAAGAATGATAGGATGGTAATTTTCCATGCAACCGATAATAGTTCGAAAAAATAGTGGTTGACGGTAGGGAAAATAGCCGAAAAACTATCAATCAACAACCAATTCAATTCCATAACACAATCAATTCAACAACAGCCTCCAATTCAATTCCACAACACAATCACAAAAATCCCCTAAAAAACCGTAACCCACCTCCATCTTTGCAACTGTCGGTTCAGGTCGGTTGAACCTGATTTTAGGCATCGTCGTTGATTAGCGTCGACCCTCATCTTCCCCATCCTTCACTCACAAAAGCCCATCACTTTCCTACCACACCTAGCATGCCAATTACTGGCCTCCGTTGGTTTTTGGTTTGCGCAACCCTTGGATTTCCAAGCTAGATTCCGATCGATTTGGTTGCCGAAAATTCCACCTGAAGCCACCTATAACTTCAACAACACCTCCTCTCTAAAAGCCTCAACATCCCAGACCTTGGTTGTTCACTGTTCATTAACAATGGGTGAATAAATGTTGTTCTTAAACTTTTTAGGTACGAAATTGTCTTTAAGGCAAACTTCGGGTGGGAGAATGTTATTCGGCCTAAAATCTCTTCTTTTTTGTTTAATCATTATAATTGTTACCATTAATAGAAGCGATGGATGCAGTAGTGATGGCAATGGGCCGGGCCGGGACCGGGTACCCCTTGGCCCAGGCCCAAACCCGGCCCGAGCCCGCTACCGGTATGATAGGCAAAGCCCAAGCCCGGCCCAACGGGTTTTTTATAACCGCAGGCCAGGCCCAAGCCCGCCTTTTTTGATAATGTTTATTTTTAAATATTAATAAATTTCAATTTTTTTTTATATTTTAAATTTTAGAAATAGTTTTTAAATATTTATTGAAGTTATTTTCGCAAATAATTTAAGCAATAAGTGAGCAATTAAAACTCCATAATATTTGATTATACTAACTTTTCAGCTGTGCATAATATGTTATGGTGAAATCCACTTTTATAAGTT